CTTCCTTCCTCCCCACTTCCCTCTTTCTCTTCCCTCCCTTCTTTTACTACTTTTTAAAATTTTCTGTCTACTTGACTGCCTTTTAATGTTACTTAACTTTTTAACTTAAATACTGCCTAAAATATGTGTGTTTCCAATGTTACATGTCTGTTGTGTTAATTATAAGGATCTTGTATAAAGGCACAGTGCTTATAACTTAAGAATCATGTATTTAAATGAATATTTATTGAGTTTATTGTACATAAGATACCATGAAAGAAGCTATGGAGAATATATAGTATACATACCACCTAAGCATACAAAAATGGATATAGCCCAGAAGCTAAAATTTTACTTAGGGAGGAGGGCATTTCTAACAAGTTCCTGGATGCTGCTGCTGCTGGGACCACAATGTTTTACATCATTAAAGAAAATATCATGTGAGTTTGTTGATAAAACTGAAGTTCTGAGAGCTTAGGTAACCTGTTCAAGACCTTAGAGTATATAAGAGGCAGAAGCAGAATTTATAACTTTTCTTGCTCCCTTGTCTTTGCATTCTGGCCATTGCTTTGCAGTGGAATTGGAAGGGGGTGAGTAAGGATCATCTCTGGATTCTCTCAGAATCTCTAGTGCTTAGTAGATTGACTGACACTTAAGAGGAACACAGTGCTTTTTTGAATGAATGAACAAATTACTGTGTGTCCCAAGTGATTCAGGAAATGGCTCACTTTATTTTCTTTATACTATTTATAACCTCATTGATTTAAGACATTTGAATTAGAACAGAATGCTTCATTTTGAAAAATTAAAATGAAATGTCAAGTGGAAGCAATGGCTCACAGAGTCTTTTTGAATGAGGGGATAGGTGCCTTTTTCACATTTTCTTTTACTTCCTTCATTTTCCCTTTTGTTCCCCACCCCCTACTCCCATAGGTTGAATAAACTTTGTCAGCTCTATGCAAAAGTTCTGGGATCCCAAGAAGCTTTGCAGGTAAGGCTGCTCCCCAACCCTTTCCTAAGGGACAGAGATCTTGCTTTGTCCTCAAGGGACTAGCAGGGATAGGCTCATCCGTAAAGCCCTAGAGTTTATGTTTTACCTGATACCATATTGGAGGGATCTGCACAGGGCTGATCAACTCATAAGTTGTCCCAAAGAGTATGTATGGTCCCTGGCTGTGCTGGGTGGCAGCTCAGGAACCTTGTAACACTGCTGTGTTTCAGATGGTGCTATGCTTGTCCCTGAGTTCAGAGCTTTTCCAGGAAGAGGGCATTGGGTCACTCTCCTCCCAGCCTTGTCGGGGGGGTAAAAGAGGGGAGCTTCTGCTATCCTTAGTGAGATCCTACATCCTAGCAGCCATAATAAGGATGAAAAGAGATTTCTGTTTTTCTGCTCATCTTGCAAAGAGTCCAGAGTCTCATTTATATACATAATTGAGCATATAAGCATTTCCTAACACCCCTCAACTCCCCACGCACTGTCTCATGGGTAAAAGTAAGGTGGTTTATCCCCCTCCTGAACATCCTTTTTTGCCTTGTTTTACCCTTGAACATTGGGGTGCAAGGAAATACACGTTTACTGACTCAAGGTGAGCCCAGTCAACTGGGTTTCCTAGACACCTTTGGAGGTAGCCTGGGGAAACTGATCATTAAGTTAAACTAGTAGCACTCTGCAGGTAGTCAAAGGAGGAATGCTGTGGGGTAGGGAAGCATTATGGAAGAGCATCTGATGACAGTCAGAGGGTCCAATGCACTCCTAACCAGTAGCCAAAACTGCCTCCCTAATCAATATTTAAAGCAGTGGATAGGTATTATTACATTTGCCAGGCTGCTGGATTTTTTGTTTTGACATGGATTAAATCATTTTTTGAAACTGATTATTAAATCCAGTTATCCATGAAGCATTTGAAAGCAATTGAAACTGATGTACAAATGAGAAGTTAAAATGTGAAAAATAGGAGATCCAAGATGGCAGTGGGCAGAGTGAAAGCTACACTGACACTCTCCCAGAACCAATCTGGATTTACAACTAAAACATAAAAAACACATCCTCAAAATCAATGGAAGACGAGCTGGAGAACACCCTCATAACCAAGGAGGAAAAGTGGAGACCGCACAGAGACTGGTAGGAAGTGCAGAGGCACAAGAGGGCTGGCTGGGGTCCCAAAGGCAGCAGCTGAAGGTCCAGAGAGATATCTCAGCTGTGGAGGTTCCCACTGAGGACTCTGGGGCTTAAACTCCAGGCTAGTCTTCCCAGCCAAGAGCACCAGAACTGAGAAAGGTGCCCACAAAACATCTGCCTGTGAAAAACAGCAGGGTTTCTGTCTGCCAGGGAGAGGCAGCTGGAACTGCAGGCACCCTCTTCAAGGGCCAATGCATAAAGTTTCATGTACAGCCACTCACCTTGGGCTCTGGCAGAGGGGGAAGTGGACTGGAGCTGTGTGGGGAGAGTCTGCGGTTTGGGGCTCTGGAGAAGAGATCAGGTGACGCCCATTTGGACTTTTATCACGGGCGGCCAATTTTTGGCTTTTGCCTGCAGGGGGAAATCAATTGCCCCACCCTGCTGGAAAGCCTCTCTGCGCAGAGGAGTTTCTACAGCCTAAGGCTTGTTAACAGACTAAGAACAACCAGCCGCCCTCCCCTGTGGAGCTTCTACAGCCTGAGGCTCATTAAGAGAATCAGATTAATCAGTTTGCAGGCAGAGGAAGACCTCAGGATGCTTTGAGTCTTTGCCTGATCTGCTTTGGGACCCAGGCCTTAGAAAAGCAGACTTTGGTGTGCATCTTGGTCCTGTCCAAACGCACCCAGCACCAGCAGAGGAGACCTCAAGCCTAGGGTTGTTTTTGTCTTTGTTATATATCTTTACTGATTTCAGAGAGAGGAAGGGAGAGGGAGAGAGAGATAGAAACATCAATGATGAGAGAGTCATTGATTGGCCACCTCCTGCACGCCCCCGACTGGGGATGGAGCCTGCAGCCTGGGCATGTGCCCTGACTGGGAATCAAACCACGATCTCCTGGATCCTAGGCCGACGCTCAACCGCTGAGCTACGCCGCCCGGCCAGGCAAGCCTAGGGTTGTTGATAGCTCAAAACAGGGTACTCAGGGCCAGTCACAAACTGCGTCTGACATTGGGATATACCAGAGACCCTCCAAAAAGACGGAGAATCCTAGCAGATCTACCTAATACTTAGAAACAACCCCAAAAAAGTAGCCAAAACAGGTAGACCAAAAAACAAGCCCCAAATGAAGGAACAGGAGAAGTCTATAGAAAAAAAGCTAAATGAAATGGAGATAAGCAATCTCTCAGATATAGAGTTCAGAATACTGATTCTAAGGATGCTCAACAGCATAAAAAAATATGGAAACTATGAAAAATGACCAGTCAGAAATGGAGAATGACATAGCAGAAATAAAGAATACATTGGAAGGAATAAACAGCAGATTAGAGGAAGCTGAGGATCAGATCAGTGAATTAGAAGACAGAGTAGAAAAATCACTCAATCAGAGACCCAAAAAAAAAAAACAATTAAAAACCAGGAGGACAGTCTAAGGGAGCTGTGGGAGAGCATGTAACTTAAATATTTATATCATAGGAGTGCCAAAGGAATCCGAAAGTAAGCAAGGGTTAGAGATTCTGTTTGATGAAATAATGGCAGAAAACTTCCCTAACCCAGTCAAGGAAAAAGTCACAAAAGTTCCGGAGGCACAGAGAGTCCCAAGCAAGAAGAATCCAAAGAGGCCCATGCCCAGACACATCATCATTAAAATGCCAAGAATTCAAGACAGATAATCTTAAAAGAAGCTAGAGAAAAGCAATCTGTTACCTACAAAGGAGCCCCCATAAGGCTGTTGTCTGACTTCTGATCAGAAACTCTACAGGCCAGAAGGGAATGGCATGAAGTATTGAAGGTAATGCAAAACAAGGATCTGAAGCCAAGACTACTCTATCCAGCAAGATTATCATTCAAGATAGTGAAATAAAGAGCTTCCCAGACGAAAAAAAGACTAAAGGATTTTATCACTACAAAACCAGCATTACAGGAAATGTTAAAGGGACTGCTATAATTATTAGAAACAGAGATAATGAGAAACATAGGCATAAAGAAATAAAATGGCAGTAGATAAGTATCTTTCAATAATAACCTTAAATGTAAATGGATTAAATGCCCCAATAAAANTGGGTTAAATGCTCCAATAAGAAGACACGGGGTAGCTGAATGGATAAGAAAACATGACCCAAATATATACTGTCTAAAAGAGACTCACCTCAGAACAAAAGACTCACACAGGATGAGAGTGAAGGGATGGAAAAAATTTTTCCGTGCAAATGGAAATGAAAAAAAAGCTAGAGTAGCAATACTCATATTGGACAAAATAGACTTCAAAATGAAGACCATAATGAGGGACAAGAAAGGTCATTACATAATACTACAGGGATCAATCCAACAAGAGGATATAGCCTTGATAAACATATATGCACCCAATATAGGAGCACCTAAATTTATAAAAAAACTTCTGGAGGACTTCAAGGGAGAGATCTACAGCAATACAGTCATACTAGGGGACTTTAACACCCGACTGACTTCACTGGATAGGTCTTCCAGACAAAAAATCAACGAGGAAACAGTGACCCTAAATGACACAGTAGAGCAGATGGATTTAACTGACATTTACAGAACATTCTACCAGAAAGCTACAGAATATACATTCTTCTCAAGTGCACATGGGACACTCTCAAAGATAGACGACATAGTAGATCACAGAACAACTCTCTACAAGTTCAAGAAGGTTGAAATAATACCACGCATCTTCTCAGACCACAGTGGAATGAAATTAGAAGTCAACTACAATAAAAACATTAAAAAACGTTCAAACACATGAAGGCTAAAAAGCATGATTTTAAACAATGAATGGGTTACCAAAGAGATCAAGAAAGAAATTAAAAACTTCCTGGAAACAAATGAAAATGAACACACAACAACTCTAAATCTATGGGACACAATGAAAGCAGCCCTGAGAGGGAAGTTCATAGCACTGCAAGACTACCTCAAAAAACAAGAAAAACTTCTAATAGACTCTCTAACCTTACAACATAAAGACTTAGAAAGAGAACAACAAGAAAAGCCCAGAGTAAGTGGAAAGAAAGAAACAATAAAGATCGGAACAGAAATAAATGACATAGAGACTAAAAAATAATACAAAAGATCAATGAAACCAAGAGCTGGTTCTTTGAAAAGATAAACAAGATTGAAAAACCTTTAGCCAGACTCATCAAGAAACAAAGAGAGAGGACCCAAATAAACAAAATCAGAAATGAAAGCGGTGAAATAACAACTGACCCAACAGAAATACAAAAGATTGTAAGAAAATACTATGAACAACTATATGCACCAAGCTGGACAACCTGGATGAAAATCAGGAAGAGTCAGAAAACCTGAATGGCTGACAAATATGATGAAGTTGAAGCAGTAATCAAAGGGATCCCAGCACACAAAAGCCCTGGCCCTGATGGATTCACAGGGAAGTTTCACCATACATTCAAAGAAGAATTAAGACCTATTCACCTCAAACTATTTCAGAAAATCCAAGACGAAGGAATACTTCTGAACTCTTTTTATGAGGCCAGCATTAGCCTAATTCCAAAACCAGATAAAGACACTACAAAGAAAGAGATTTATAGGCCAATATCCCTAGTGAACATAGATGCTAAAATCCTCAACAACATATTAGCAAATCAGATCCAGCAATGTATTAGAAAGATTATACACCATGACCAAGTGGGAGTGATTCCAGGGGTGCAAGGCTGGTACAATATTTGCAAATCAATAAATATGATACATCACATAAACAAATTGAAAGACAAAAATCACATGATCATATCAATAGATGCAGAAAAAGCATTCAACAAAATTCTGCACCCATTTTTGATGAAAGCTCTCAGCAAAGTGGGAATAGAGGGATCATTCCTTAACATAGTAAAGGCCATATATGA